TATGAACGTGAATTGGAAGTGCTTGTAAACGGGATTATATACCGGGCCGACACCTGCATTGTTTACAATAAGTAAGCAATCCTTTATTTAAAACGACAGTTTAGGATCAAATAAATAATTAATTTATATTCCTCAAACCTAATTTCAAGTGTAATTTATTCGACTATTATGATCTTTTCGGGTTAAATATAAATTCAAGTTCAATAATCCACACGCTTGCTGGTGCTAGCGGACCATAAAAAAAAATGATTGATGCTGATGACTGAATGTTTACAAATTTAATACCTCTAACGTTTCACAAACTATAGAAACAAAAATATTAGAAGTAGAGACCATAACAGAGCTGAAAAATTAAAACTCAATGGTACCACACCCACACTTACATTTGTCCCCTCCCCCTTTCCCATGATTTTTTTGTTATCACAGCCGGTAGCAGCAATGACATGCAGAGGGGAAACTCCGGCTTTAAAATCTATATCACAGGCAACGCCCACAGTATCCCACCCTGAGAATATTATGTGCTGAGGCCCCAGTCTCTTCCACTGTGCGACTCTCGTACCAATTTGACAGCTACAATGTTTGTTTTTCCAAAGCAAGTGCATTACTGCTATAACGTCTGTAGTTTGTTTACATTTGCAAGCTATTTTCTGGAAAACTACCAGCTAGATCGCAATGTATTTTTTGCATGCAGCCTTGGAATATCCATGACACAAAATATAGTGATATTCTTCAGTCCATAGATGCTTAGGATGCTGTATATCAGCAAATTTGTTTGATCTTTTCGAACCACTGTAAATAAGTAGAATAAAATTTTAGATTTACAGTAAACATCTGGGCTATCCTCCGAATAACAGCCACATATTATGGCGGCCACAAAAACACCCTAACAGGGCCTCAGTCACATGTAAATTATGGACTTCCGGCGACTTAAATAGCGACTTCCAGCGACTACCGCCACCGCCGAGAGCGTGGATTGGGGCTAAACTAGATGGCTGGGACTCATGAGCAGCGGCTTCCGCATCTCCTGCAGCTTTGCCCGTGAGTCCCAGCCATCTAGTTTAGCTCCAGTCCATGCCGCAATTTACATGTGACTGAGGCCCTGTTTTTTTCCGCCATAATATGTGGCCGTTATTCGGTGGAACATTTCTGTTCTGTTTACTGATTGGCATTCTTTAGCATAGGTATGGTGAGCATTAGTGCTGGTGATAATGTCCGCAATCAGATTGATTATATTTTGATTTCAAGAAGATTCAGGAGCAGCTTAGTTGGAGCAAAAACTAGACCAGGAGCAGACTGCTTTATTGACCATGTTCCAGTTGTAGGAAAAATTAGAATAAAACTAAAGAACATTAGAAAAACACCACAGAACATCAAGTTAAATTTAGGAATTCTTAGAACGGATAAAGAAATTAAGGACCAGTACAATGTCACTGTACAAAACCGGTATAATGCAATGGAAATTATACAGACTATTGATGAACAGTGGGATATGTTGCGTGAGTCAATTCAGCAGACATCTAAAGAAACAATCCCACCAACCCATAGAGTTGCAAAAAAGAAATGGATGTCAACCGAAATTCTGCAGTTGATGGATGAAAGAAGGAAGAAAAAGAATGATAAAGAAGAATACTCTAGACTACAAAAAGAAATAGTGAACAAATGCAAAGTGGCTAAAGAAGCCTGGCTGAATCAAATGTGTACAGAAATTGGGGAAAACAACAGGAAAGACTCACATTCCATGTACCAAAAGATAAATATGTTAACAGGAAAGATGACACGTAACGGCACTGGATGTTTGAAATCAAAAGATGGTGACTTATTAATGGGACATAGTAATATAATTAACAGATGGACAGAGTATATTGGGGAATTGTATGATGATAATAGACCAGATGTAGAACTGCAGACGAACAATGATGGTCCACCAATAATGACTGCAGAAGTTGTGGATGCAATACATCATATGAAGAAAGGAAAAGCACCCGGGCCAGACAACATCTCACTGGAAGAAATCGAAGCACTGGGAGATTTTGGAATTGAAATAATAACTAAACTTTTAAATGATATTTATAATAGGGGGTATATTCCAAATGACCTTTTAAAATCCATATTTATAGCTCTGCGTAAGAAACCAGGCACTATCAAATGTGAAGACCATCGCACAATAAGTCTTATGTCACATGACTAAGATTTTACTGAGAATAATTATGAGAAGAATAAGAAACAAAATTAAACCAGAAATCAGCGATGAACAATGTGGATTTGTAGAAGGAAAAGGTACAAACAATGCCGTATACATCCTAAGGACATTGTCAGAAAGAGCTATAGAAGTAAAGACTGATTTGTACATATGCTTCATAGACTATACAAAAGCATTTGACTGTGTGAAGCATGAAGAAGTAATCAGACTGTTAGAAAAATTAAACATTGATGGGAAAGATCTACGAATAATAAAGAATATGAATTGGCAGCAAACAGCATCTATAAGAATTAACAACTGTTTAGGTACATTTCAAAGCATAAAGAGGGGCGTACGACAAGGATGTGTGCTGTCACCTGATTTGTTTTCAATATACAGTGAATATATAATGAGAGCTTTAATTGGTATGCCAGGAATTGTGGTTGGTGGGCACAATATAAACAATTTATGTTATGCTGATGACACAGTCTTGATAGCAACAAGTCAGAAAGAACTACAGGAAATGATAGACATTGTGGTGTTAGAAAGTGGAAGAATGGGCCTCAGTTTGAATAATGGGAAGGCAGAAGTAATGGTGGTATCAAAGAAACGAATTATTCCTAAGTGTGTAATAAAAGTTGATGGTGTTATTTTGGGACAAGTACAGAAATTTAAGTATCTGGGCACATGGATAACATCAGATGGAAGATGCATAACTGAGATAAGAAAAAGAATAGGATTGGCAAAAACTGTATTTTATAAAATGAAAAACATCTTGTGCAATATATCCTTGTAATTGAGAGTTAGAAAAAGATTTCTTGCTTGCTACATACATCCAGTTTTAACATATGGTTGTGAATCCTGGACAATCGGTAGGCAGGCCAAACAATTTCTGGAGGCCTCGGAGATGTGGTTTTACAGAAGAATGCTTAGAATACCTTGGACAGCCAAAAAGAGCAACCAAGAGGTTTTGAAAGAGGCGGGAGCCCGAAGACAACTTATCACAGACATCAGAAGGAGACAGTCATCATTTTTCGGCCATGTTATGAGAAGAGGGAAAATAGAACATGTTGTGACCACTGGAAAGATATGTGGAAGGAGAGACAGAGGAAGACAACGAGAGAAGATGCTTGACAGTCTTGTTGCATGGCATGGAGGTGTGTCGGCACACGAACTGATACATGCTGCAGGAGATCGCAGATTATGGAGAGGCATGATCGCCCACGCCAGTCGGCAAGGCACCTGATGATGATGGTGAGCATTAACTCAGGGTTTATCAAAATATACAGTATCATAGTCTTGCCACTGTCACTCACAGATCTGCCTCAGGTATTTGCCTTGACTAGCAATCATATGTGGCTTTTCGCAAATAATATTCCTTCCACCTACAGTTTTCCTGAAAGTGAACCTGGTGGCTCTTACAATTTTCCACAGACTACTTTTTGAAATGTCAATACTGCATTGTAATTTCAATATTATTTTCAGTTTTAGGAAAGTAACAAGTTGATCTGTCTGAAAATTTTAAAGATTTCAAGTCTAATGACATCTACATCAAATTTCCTTTTCCTTCCTTGTTTGACATGAACTTACCCTGTGTCCTGTCTAATCCAACGGTTAAATGATACTGTATCCAGACCAAGCGCCAATCGTGTTCGTTTCTCTGGATCATGAATATCACAATATAAATTACCTATCTTAGATTCTTGAGAAAGTGCTGGTACTGTAAAACGGTAACCTTTTGCATAGTTATAATAATAAAGGTCTTGAGTGCAAATCAACATTGCATCAAGGCATATTTTTATATTTGACCTAGGTTCCCGAGGTCATCCCAGCTTAAAATAAGAACTGGAAAATGTTCTTGAGAGTACAGTTAGCTGGTATGGTAGTGACCACCTCATGTCAAGTGATGATTTTTCTGTAAAACATATGGGTCCTCACTATTAGCCTGCTTTGCCAATGGTATGGAAAGGCTTATTGACTTTACTTCTGGACAGACTAATACAACTGAAATTTATTACAGAATCGTGTTGTCATGGGGTTGGCCTTCCGATATGTTGACGAAATTAGCATGCAGAAAACTGAATGGAAAGCGTTTCTATCAATAAATACACTGCATAACACTTTAAAAAATTGGCACAGTCAAGGAACAGTCAGTCTTCTGAAGTCAGAAACCTTCTCTACCTTCCATCATGTCCCATCCCTGTATGTTCATTTCAGCTTCGCAGGGAAAACCCGGTACTAATTTTGTATGTGCTTTATGTCTCTAAAATGGTTACATTTACCAGTCATATTTACCCTCATGTTGTAGGCTCGTACACTCATACATACCGACTGTAGGTCAATGACACATGTCTTCAATTAAAATATTGTCAAGTAGTTCTCTAGGCACTTGATAAGACTCACATCTAGATCATCATGGATTTTCTGTCCAGGATGTTCGGGTAATGAGCAGGCTGATAAAATGGCTGCTGCCGCTGCTCTGGGCGGTGAGCTACTTTATGATGAAGTGGACATGGTAAAGGCTGTCTGGGATCAAACGGCTATTTTAACTGTCGGGTGGGGGTGAGTAGAGGTTCTAGAAGGGAAACATAAGTGGACTTTTAATCAGGTTGCAACTGGTACTATTAGCATGTCAACACCTTGTTGGCTACTGAGATAGGAGACAGAGCACATGTGGGAATATCTCAAGTGCAGTGTTGTTGTTTGATTCATTCAAGTTGTTCAGTAGAAATTCACTATACAGTGTGTATAAACCGTCTCTGATTTTCATTGATTTATTTTATTTCACCACCAACAGATTCACTGCATTACACAAGAACAGATGGGCTCATATTGTCACCGACGTTATGTGTCGCGCCTCTTTCAGAATTTTGGCAAGCTGCAGCCAAAAATGAAAACTGAACAGGAAGCTGGGCTGTCATGTAATAGCCATAAGGTTCGAGAAAGTTGTCTTTTTCTATATGTTCACGGCTGTAAACTCCGGTGGAAAATTCTGGTTGTTTGTCCACTTCTGGACTTTTCTGTTTCAGAGTTTTGTATGCATAATGTTGGTTTCCTGTCTCTCAGGCAGGTTGGGGGACACAAAGGTGGGGGTGGGGGGGGGGGGGGTGTCATCAGGCAGTTTTGAAATTGAGTGCATTTGTATTTGTAATAATTCGTTATATAATTTTTTTTTCAGTTTAGTTATAAGAAAAATAGTAAAATATTTTAAAACCTAGAAAACAAAATACCATTACATTTTTTTTTTTTTTTTCATAAACCCTTTGTATCTTTCCAGTTAAAACTTTAAATAATGTGATATCACCAGCATTTAGTTATAGATTCAGAACACATTCTGACCAAAATGTCTCTCAATACTCTCTATTTCCATTGTTGCGGAATCTATTGTCTTCCACATTTTAATCACATTTAGTTATTTTTTTTTTTTGGGGGGGGGGGGGGGGGGGAAATCTTGCCATACACACAAGGAAGTGTGGGGGTCTTGCAATATACCCGAGGGGGGGGGGGGGAGTCTTGTCATATACTCAAGGGGGGCTTGCGGATCTTGACATATTCATGGTGGAGCACGACCTGTAAATGCATAGGCAGCTGTCAGATGTACCAGCACTAACGGTCCCACACCAAAATTGCAGCTGAATGTTGATGCAAGAAGTCAATTGCAAAATCTGGTATTGTGCAGGCATTACTGCATAAGGACATGTATTCATTACTGATATGCCTTTCATTTGATGCTCTATAATGTATTCTCTACAGATTCTTAAAACCTTTCATTTTATGCTTTATATTGCATATATTGTCTACTTATATACCTTTCATTTTATGCTTTATATTGCATATATTGTCTACTTATATACCTTTTATTTTCTGCTTTATAATGTATTCTTTACTGATATACCTTTCAGTTGATGCCGTGTAATGTATTCAGTATTTATGTACCTTTCAGTTGATGCTCTATAATGATATCATAGCTCCCAGCTATTTTGGAGGATTCCATATGCTTCCGCTGGGAGTACGTGCCCTTGAAAAGCTGACACGACTTGTGGATCAGGAGATGCAGACAGTTGGGGGACAAAAGATTGCCATGACGACTCTTGCCAAAGAATCTTTGTGGCAGAAATCTGGTATGTCAAGGTGAATCATTAAGGAATCCCTAATAACTATGTCAGCAACTTACTGATTATTTAATATGTTCTTATTCTTCTTAGCAGTGACCAGCTGTTAACTTAGGCGGAAAGTTCTGGACTTTGGTCTTGTTCTAGAATTTGTGCTTTGTATTTACATTTGTCGGCGTCTGTGGCTTAGGCATTACAAACGTGCTAAGTAATGCCGGGTTTGATCTCAACTGCGGACGGTTTGTCTTGCGTTGGTTTCGATGGTGGTACAGGGAGCTGACCATTAAGAAAGAAGCGACAAACTACTGAACGTAAAATTTGCCTAGAAAAACCACAACAGCTAAAACAATGCTGGGGGTGGTTCTGCAACGTCCTGGTTCTGCAACGTCCTGTAAAGGATATGCAGCTAACTTTTGTTTGTTTTGTTTGTTAAAGGAGCATTAGTCTAGAATTTTCCCCCTCCAGAAGGGTACCTCAGATCCCACACAAGGACAGACTACAACCTATAAGGGGGGATCACTTGTTCTTAAGAAAATTGCCAGGTACCCATTTTTTTTTTTTTAGACTGTACTTGTTGGAAGTCGGCATCTGTGGGTTAGATGTTGCGAACGTGCTTCGTAATGCCGGAGTGCTGGGCTCGACCCCAGCTGCAGGCAATTTGGCAGTGGTAGGTCATGCATTGGTTTTGACAGTGGTACCTAGAGCTGACCATTTAGAAAGCAGTGGCAAACTACTGAATGTAAAATTTATTGCCTAGAAAACCACAACAGCCAAAATGTTCGGGTTGGTTCTGCCACATCCTGTAAAGGATATACAACTAAATAACTGGTTGAAGAAAAACAATGCTTTCTCTGCTGGGCATTAAACCAGGACCACTATCGAGGCAAGCAAGTGTACTCACTACTGTGCCATCTTGGCCCTATTATGGAGGTAACATTTAATGCATTACTTGCTAAACGACAGTTTAAACAACACTAGGGGCTGAAATAAATTGGCTGATAGATGTACTGCACAGAAAGCATCTTTTCATGTGAATAAACCCTGTTTACTTCTTAGTTTGAACAGCAGAAAAAGTAATGGTGATTAGATAGATACTCAGCCCCCCTACAGTGCATTTATGATATCCAGCGAAATGCCACACAGGAGTGGGTTGCTTTTAGATGGAAAGGGGAAATGACAATATTAAAATAAAAAAATAAAAAAAAAAACAAGTTTTGTAATACTAGTAATCGTCAGCTATTTAACCCTTTCGCTGCTGCGCCCTCCGCCAGCCAACGTAACCACTGTGCTAAGCCAGGAGAGAGCTAATCTTTCCCCCTGTGCTGAATACCGTTTTTTCCTTCAAAAGCAGAAGACGCGCTTGCGGCACGGGGTAAAAATTGTACACCTAAAATAAAAAATCGTTGAAGGCGTGTGGTTGAACTTTGCGCTGACAAGTCAGACGCGCTATTACTACGCCATGAAAACTCATTAACAAAAAGAAAACACTACAAACTTACAAAGCAAACACAAAACACTTTAGTAAGCAAATACTTTTTTTTATTATTAATAATAATATCTTTGTGTGTGAAATATTTCAAAACAAGGTGCGACACACAATGCCAAAATCACATTCCTTGCACATGTATCTGGTTTTCCATCGTTTTTTGATTTTTGCGCATACCACACACTTTCTTGTTGGGAATTTTTTCTGCGATGTTACGGTCTCTATTATTGAAGGAAAATGCCTTTGTACTAAACAAAGTGGCAGATCTTCACTTTTTTGTCCTCCTACACTTTTTCTCTTTTCCTTGCAATATTTCTGTAGAATTTCTCTTACTAACATTAAGTGAAATTCGGCAACAGGTGTGTTTTTCCACACAACAACTTTATATAATGAATGTGCACTGTACACCAACCAGGCTTCACAAAGGAACAGGATAACGTGTAAAGCATCAAAATCCACCTGAACGCACATGACAGGATTTTTAATTAATTATTACTTTGGTGATCTGTTGCCGAAAATGCTAAGAGCTTAAATTTAAAATTTTCATTTAAAATTATTAATTTAAAAAAAAATAACGGCACGTAGGGGTTGAACGCTGGACCTTTCGATTGTAAGGCAGACGTGATACCAACTACACTAGAAATTCACATGAAACTATAATTGAAAAAAGACCAGTATTGTACACTTTAATAGACAAAAACATTTATGTCAGTTGTATAGTATATAATTAACATTAATATTAATCATCACGTCAGTACGTGACCATATCATTATTTTGATTATTTTGGATCCGTTTCAAATCCAATCGATGTAAATAGCTAGTTCAGTTGGTCACTGGTCAGTCTTGTTCACAGCCAGAAGTACACGTGTCCGCCGACGTGCCGCGAAGATAACCCAGCTCATATAACTCAAACGTTTCAAAGTGATCCTTACTACTACTCCTTGAAAGAAACTCTATTAATTCTTCTTTATTTAAACAAATGTTCTTGTTATTTTGTATTTTAAAAAAAAAAAAAAAATTTCGACTAACGCAAAACCAAAAATATATTTCAGGGCAAAAAAATTACCGTTCACCGACAATGCTTCTATGGTAACAAAGCAACAGGATAACATGAAATGCATCTAAATACGCCTAAACTCACTTGATAAGGGTTTTAATTGTATGTAAACGGGTCAGTTTGATCAGATTAAGGTAATGTGTATTGCTATTTCACCCCTAAGAATTACTGTCCTTAGCAATCTGTAAAAAAATGTCGAGGACGAGATATCTCGTCCTTAGCAGTGAGGGCACAGGAAATGGCAGCCAAGTTATCTCGTCTTTAGCAGTCTGTCGGGCAGACGAGTTATCTCGTCCATAGCAGCGAAAGGGTTAAGATATTTTAAGTACCTAGTGTTAAGTAATATCGGTGCCCAGCAGCAGTAAAAAAAATATTTAGTTTTACTTGAATTCCGGGGATTTTCATTTTTCTTTTAAACTTAGCCTTAATTAATTAGGTCAGGGTTCGTAGTGGACTGGGAAATCGGGAAATTACCGGGATTTTTTTTCGTTGACCTTGAACCGGGATTTTTAGCTTATAAAAGACATTCCGACCTTGAAAAGCCGTGAATTTTGACCGAGGCAATGAAATCGTCAGAAATCCTGTGTTTTTCAGCACAGGCAATTTTGGGGGAGCCATTTGGCTAGTTTTTGACTACTTTCGTTGTATGGTCGTTTCAGGTGTGAGGGCAGCTGATTATTGGCTATTTTCAGCCGAAATGGCTTGTTAAAGGCCAGGGGAGGGCGGGCTTTGTTACAGATCATGAATACATGCAGACAGCAGCAGTGTGGCATGGGGCGGGAAGGAGCAGCTTCCGTCTCGCGTGTGTGTGTGTGTGTGTGCCTTTGTTTCTAACAAGTCGGGCAGAATGAACAGTTTTAATCGTTTATGGCCGTGGTTTCTAGAAAGGATTACATTGGGAGATGGTGGGGCTCGGTTCAGTTGTATTTATAAATAGTGTCGCCATGGTGGGGGCTAAGCACGGCCTTCTCTATTAATTAGAGATGGCATTGGGGCTAAGCAAAGTGACTGCAGCTGGATTTCCCAGTTCTATTTTTGGCCTGGATTTATCTTTACAGTGTGTTTGGCGATCAGTATTGTAATTCCCCGAGATTCCCTCTTCTGTTGTCTCACCCCTCTCTCTCTCTCTCTTCCCTCCCTCTTTCACTCTTCTACCTATTGCTCCTTCCTTCCCGTCTCCTGCATTGTCTCTAACCCTCCCTTCTGATCTTCATCTTCTTCTCTTTCTCTCTATCTTTCCTTTTACTCTCTCATTTCCTGTCCCCCTTCCCCCTTTTTCCTATTTTATTTCTTGTTTAAATGTTTAGTAAATGTGCGGCTCCATAACTCTTCCTAGCAACTCAAGTACACAGGAAGTTGTATTGGGGGGGGGGGGGGGGGGCATTCTGTGTGAACATGGTGGATATTTTCTTTTGATGTGTTTGTTTTCCTAGCGGCCTTAATCTCTGTCCATCTCCCTTCCCGCCCCTCACATTTTGTCCTACCTGTTCCTCACTCTCTGCCTGTCTGTGTCACTGCTTTCTTCTTTCTCTTTGTATTTGCCACTCTCCCTCACTCTCTTTCTCTCTCTCTCTCTCTCTCTCTCTCTCTCTCTCTCTCTCTCTTCTTTCTCCATACCTTCAGTTGGGTAGAAGGTTATGTGTTGCCTAGTGCAGAACATTTCATGTCCACCATTCCCCCCTCCCACACATTAAATATATGTGTACTTTTAAAAACACACTTGCCGTCACCCCCCTTTTCTCCTCCCACATTGATGACACCTAGGGGAGGGAGTGCACCCCTTCCTGCTACCTTCTTCCCTCTATATCTCATCTTATTTCTTACTCCATTCTTTCTCTCCATGTCTCATTCCCACTTTATTTTCTTAAACTTTATTCTCTCACCTCCTCTGTCTCACCCTTACCACCTCAGCCTTTATTCACCACTTTCCACCACCTCCTCTCTCCCTTCCTTTCTGTAATTGGAAAACCAGAAATAAAACGAAGTCCACTGCTGCCCTGACCTATTTATGTGTCTGACCTATTTATGTGTGTGGGTAAACTTCTCTATTTTCTACCAGTGGTGGGTTGGGATCCCCTGGACTTTTTTCTTCTTCATAAAATGACCTTGGCTCTCAGGTCACCAGCCTTAAGTGTAAGAAATTATTGTTGTCACACACAGATAGGACAAGCAAGGGGCAGTAGGGGTTAGCACTGTTGTTTCTGGACCACGGCCACATTCACATTGGGAGAGGGTAGGAACCGGAAAAGTGGCCTCACTTAGAGATTTCCTAATTCTATTTTTGGCACTCATTGTTCTTACACCCCCCCCCACCCCCACAACCGTGTCTTACCTTTCTTCTCTCACCCCTTCTCTTTCCTTTGATCTTCTACTATTCTCCTTTCTCTCTCCATTCTTCCTCTCTTCCTTTCCTTGCCCTTTCTCCTGTCCCATCTCTTCTTTGTCTCCTCTCCATCCTGTCTTTTCATTTTCTCTAGATTTCCTTACCCGCTCCCCTCTCTCATTCTCTCCCCCCCTCCCTTTTTTTTAACTGGTTCATCTAGGTATTTTTTTGCCCCATAACTATCTTTTCCTAGTGGTTGTGTCCACTACACTTGAAATTGTGTGTGGGGGGGGGGGGGGGGGAGTAGGTGGCTGTTTTTTTTTCTTTGATGTATCTTGTCTCCCTTCCTGCCCCTCTCTCTTAATTTGTGTTTGTCACTGCCTTCCTTACCCACCTCTCTCTCTCTCTCTTGCTTCATGTCTGTTTGCCTCCCTTCATCACTTCCTCTTTGTATACCTCCCTCCCATTCTCCTGCTCTGCCTTTTTTCTCTTTCTTTGGTTCTCTCCCTCTGTCTGCTTGCCTCTCTGTGCTGTCCCTTTGTCTCTCTCTCCTTTATGTCTTCATCTCTCTCTGCTTGCATCTGCTTCTCACCCTGTCCGTTCTCTCTCCCTCTGTCTCCCTTCTTTCAACTCTTTGTCATATTTTCCTTCTTCCATATCTCTGTTTCGTTCCCTTTTTCCTTCTCTTTTCATCTGCCCATCTCTGTATCTGCATTCCCTCTTTCTGTATTTGTCTCCCTCTCTGTCTTTCGCTGTTCCTTCCCCACTTTTCCTCATGTCTCCATCCCTCCCTCTCATTTTTTCCTCCTTCCCCAGACTTCTTTTCCTTCTTTTCTCTACCTTCATCTGTCCATCTTTACACTGTCTCTCCCAGCCTACCTCAGCATGTGTCTTCCTCTCTCTTCATGACTCTCTCTCTCCCCTAACCCTCTCAGGTACCAGGTCCAGAACAGACAGGACTTCAGTTTGCTGCCCTCTACCACCAAGCCCTAAAAAAATTATCAAACACTATATCAAGCTCAGGGGCCGACCAGCACGAAGATGGGCACAGGATATAAGTGACTCCTTGAGTATAGAAAAGTACATGAGGCGGGAGAGCTGGTGAGAGACCGAGGTTTTTTTGTCAGAACAAAGGAAATGCTACATGATGATGATATCTGTGCTGGTATACCAACACATGTGGCACAAATGAAGTACCTTGTGTGCTCAGTACACCCTTGAACAAGGCAAAAATCTTGTTTCAGTATTACACCGAGACAACCTTGAAAAAAACTAAGGAGACCTTAAAAAAGACCTTGAAAAGCCTTGAAATTGATTGGTAAATTTGGCTATGAACCCTGTTAGGTACTAAGAATGCTCTTCAGGGTAAATGTAACATGCATGATACTAATCATTTCACGGCTGTGGTCTATACAAAATATGCCAAAAATATAACAGTTTCTCACAAGAGGGAAATGGGCCCTTCTTTATTTTTCCTGAAAACCAAAACAATATCAGCCTCTGGTACAAGAAGGAGAATGAAGATTAGACAGGCCTGCATGCCCAATTCTTAACCCTTTGAAAGTAAAGTCTGTGGTTTAATTTGTTCTACTGCCTTTTGTCCACCCAGTGGAGCATATAACCTCAGTCCACTCAAGCCAGGTTCAAAATTAACTCCTCTCTCTCTTTTCTGGCTAAGGCAATTAAGTCACCAAGTCTGCAATTATGTTAAAATAATTACTAGGCCATTGTCATAAAAAGTAAATACTGAGGGGTGTTTCATCTGAAGTCAGAGTGCATCTGACTGAGAGGCGATGGACCAACAGTCAGCATGCAAGTAAGCCAGGTGTGTAAAATGAATGTGCACACAAAACTCAAGTTCTGGAATGAGACTAAGTTGGAGTTTACAACTGGCGAATGTGAAGAAGAAGAAGGTACTACTGAGGCCAGAAGTAGAAAAGGAATTAAAGTGAATGAATGTCACATTTCTGACATGATGAGTTATGAAATAGTTACAGAAATTGATTCACTTTCTCTCATGTATGACTGTTGCAGGCAGGTGGGAGACAGCAGGGGCTGAATTATTTACACTCAAGGATAGGCAGAAACATCAATTTTGTCTCGGACCGGTAAGTGCCTGCTTTTGTTTTCTTTTTGTTGTTGCCTTAAAGGATTAACTCTCTTATTCTGAGAATGCCATTTTTCAGGCTTTTATGGGTTTTTATTGTTTGCATTCACATGCTATAAACCCCGGCAGAAAGACCTGGTTGTTCATCCATATCTGGACTGCAGCTTTGTTTCACAACCTGTTTTGAGTGTGCACCCGTTTTCAGATCTTTTTTTTTTAATGCAGACTGTTGGTTCCTTGTTTCTCAGGCAGATGCACTCCGACTTTGAATAAAGTTCCCAATTAATCTACTCTTACAACATGCTTGTTAAGGAGGCAGTGAGTCTGTTCTTGTTTTCCACACAGTGGGACCCTGGAACCCACACGGGGTTTAAAAAAATAAAAAATAGGTTTCTTTCAGTAGCTATGCATTTTTGTTGTTGTCTATGTGTGAGTAGCAAAGCACCGTCAGATAACTTTGTGCTTTTTTGTTTTTGTTTATAACAGTAAAATTATAATCATACCAAATAAACAATATGGCTGACTTGTTTTCAGACACATGAGGAGCTTGTGACACAGCTGTTGGCGAACAACCAGGTTTCTTACAAGCAGTTGCCAATCAGACTGTATCAGGTAGTACAGCTAAATTACTCATTGACAGACTTGAAAGATGTGTAGTAATTCACCTGTTGTTTTTGTATGTTGTTGCCAAAAATCACATTGTCTTGTTTATTGAGAAATTAATTCACAAGAATTGGTAGGCACTAAACAACATAAACATTGAAAGCTTTGGTTCATATTTTCTATTATTAATTTAACCACTGTCCCTCCATAATCTACCAAAAACAGGCATAGTGTACAAATAAATCATACATATGAAAAGATCTATATCTTGGGGGAAAAGGGAAGGGCAAAGATCAAAGAGTTAAGCAAGTTCTAACAAAACAAAAACAAAAGTAGCATTAATAATGCTTAGGAAATGGTAAAGGCATGGATAAACATAAAATGTCTGAATTATCTATTGCTGATTTCTGCTTCAAGCATAAATTTAAATAAATTCAAAGAAAGCTGTCAACTTTATGTTGTTGACATCTCCACAGAGCTTATCCTAGAGTAAAGCTAATGTAGGCTAAAAATGTCATGTTTTTTTTTTAACGTTGAGTTCTTCGACAGCACTTTTTATCTGTCACTGTTCTTTAATTAATAATCCAGATAACCCGAAAATTTCGTGACGAAATGGCACCCAAATACGGCCTCTTACGAGGAAGAGAGTTTGAAATGAAAGGTGAGCAGCTATTTCGGTAAATATATTTATGTGTGTATGTATGTTGGGAATCTCCATGGCGAAGGGGTCAAGCCATTTGCCTTGTGCTCTGAAAGTCTTAGAGTTAGTTCATGAGTCCAGTTTTTATGGAGATCGCTGAGGATCGTTGCCGAAGCTATAGAGTTCTTGCTGTATGTGACGCTCTCAGCAGGCGGCTACCCATTTTGCAGAGAGAGACTGAGCCAAATGGGATGAAATCTGTGCAATGAAGTCGATCCTCTCGGCTTTAACCTCTTTAACATTTCTTTGGTATAAAGAGTTTAGTTTTGTTAGATACCCTTGAAATAAATTCACAGGGATATTCTGGTCCTCTTGAATGACCAGAGGGGACAGTTTAGTTTTGTTAGATACCCTTGAAATAAATTTACAGGGATATTCTAGTCCTCTTGAATGACCAGAGTGGACAGTTTAGTTTTGTTGGATACCCTTGAAATAAATTCAGTTATATTCTGGTCCTCTTGAATGACCAGAGGGGACAAGTAGAAATAAGAATAAGCACTAGAGTACAAGAAAAAAAATGTGAAAGCCAAAAACGCAGAGAATTCAAACTCTTCACCTTTTGGTTACAAAAAACAAAAACTATAAAGTAAACTCTGTAGACCACAAAATGAACTAAAGATGGCAGTGAAATGTAAGACATACAAGAGACAAAATTGCTTATGTAAAAGTCTTATTTTAGGCGAATGAAAGAGAAGGAATTCTTCACCACTGTAATATGTGGCACGGGAATGTTTTGCATATCTGGCAAAATGTCTAGGGTAAATGATTATGCTTCGCCCATATAAACAAAAGTTTCCCCAGGCGACAACCTACTACCAATACTAGAATCAAAATGTCACACCAATACATTAAAAGTCATCTATGCTAGTGCATCAGTCTCTTTATTGTGGACTAAACACATTTTGATGAATGAGATGAAGTTGGGGGATCAATAATTCACTGTCGTCTCCTACTGCCTTCCCTAATAATCACACGGGCAGTCTCTCCAGACATAGACAAAATCCCCAGCGAACTATGTCCCAGTTGCCTGCTACCGACAACTCACACCCGATTGCACAATTACACGTAAGTGATGTGCAGTGACAGCCCTTAGACGGTTCGTCATCTAAATGACCCCACCACCACAATAGACTCGGGATCGATGCACCTCTTGGTGAAAACTCCAGACCTTCCCTCTGCTATCCCAGTTACTCACTGAAACATCACTGACTAACGTCCCGTTAATCAACCTCCAATACTTTCCCCATCACAACTCCACGTTGGTTAACCCACAAGGTCCCCGGCACCTTCTGTGCTCTTACAGATAGCCCGTCAACCACGTGCCCCATAGCCGCAACACTGCCAACACACTGACTTAAAAAGAAACCAAAATTGTTTGACTATTATGATATGCTTGTTAGGCAGGCAGTGGTTCTTATCCCCCCCCCCTTTTTTCCCCCCTTCCTTCCCCATCCCCCACAATGAAGACCTGGAACCACACGGGGAAGCTGTTTTCAACAGTGATACTAATTTGGTATATTTTCTCCATACCTTACAGATATGTACACGTTTGATACAAATAAAGATACTGCACTGGAAACCTACAATGCCGTGTGTGAAGCTTACGACCGCATCTTTGATAGAATAGGTGTAGAGTACGTCAAAGGTAAGGTTTTGTTGATGTTCTTACTACTTACTTAGTCGCTCCTCTTCTACCTTGTGGTGTAGAGGTTTGCCAGAGAGATGGCAGTTTTCTTTCTAGCTTTGTTCCATTCCAAACCTCTGTCAGTTTGAGACTGTCGGATGTTATCTTCCCAGTGGACTCTAGGTTGCCCTGGATGTCTGGTTCCCTGGGTCTTAGCCTCCCATGCCTGCCATGGTGGCCGATTTTCTCAAATTTTCCATACACGTCCAAACCATCTTAACTGTGACTGATCCACTCGGGTTTGCAAGGACTGGGTATCAAAATCTTGATGTAGTATCTTATTGCAGACTTTGTCACTTCTTGTCACTTGGAGCAGCTTTCTCATCTCATTTCTGGGGCCTGAAGCTGGATTCTGTGAGCTGTTATCATTGCCCATGACTCACACCCATAGGTCAGGAATAGCACATAGGTTGAGGGATAAACAGCTATTTTCGTCCTCTTGCCAATTTATTTGTTGATCCTTTAACCTGTCTGTATAAATGTAGTATTAAAATTGTTATAAATTGTGTTTTTTCTACTGTCTGTATTTTTTTTTTAGGATAGACTATGTGACTGTGTGTGTATATATATGCACACACACATACATCTTTGTGAAATGGTACAGTGGAACCTCTGTTTAGAGGTCAGGCTCGCCAGAGTTTTTGGTCCCAGAATACGAGTCGAAATCCACTATACGAGCTGGAGAGACAAGAACCTGGTCATTGCCCGATAGCATCTTGATAACTTTAAATGGATTAGGTCAAGTTAATATTTCCTGAGGAATTCTTTCAAGCCAGTCGACAGGGCACTTGATGGTGACGCACTGTTATATCATGTTTGGAAGTAAACCCTTGCCTATAAATGACAGCACTTTGCTGATTATCTTCTCTTCTTCTTTCGTTCGCTTGAAATAGATTATCTATATCTGCAATGTTGTCTCTAGTATGAACTTCACTGTCTTTTGTGCTGGTTATCTTCTCTTTTTCTTTCGTTCGCTTGAAATAGGTTATCTATATCTGCAATGTTGTCTCTAGTATGAACTTCACTGTCTTTTGTGCTGGTTATCTGTTTGTGACCACCTTCCATGTCCAACAGTATCTGGAGCTACAGGCTTGATTGGGGGAGATTTGTCTCATGAGTATCACTACCAGACCGACGTAGGCCAGGATTCTGTTTTGCTGTGCGACAGGTGAGTGTTTCCTGTGTGGCAACGTATGCCTGAATTAGTTAACAGATTCCCTATGTGGGTTATGTATGCAGCATGGAGCAAAGACTCAACATTAAATTATGTTTTTAAAGCCTTTTTTTCCCAGATTAATATCTTATTTTTCTCATCCACCTCTTCTTCCTCTTCTTCTTCTTCTTCTTCTCCTCCTCTTCTTCTTTTTCCTCCTCTTCTTCTTCCTCTTCCTCTTCTTCTTACACTTCTTCTTCCTCCTCTTCTTCTTCTTCTTCCTCTTCTTCTTACTCTTCTTCTTCTTCTTCCTCCTCTTCCTCTTCTTCTTCTTCCTCCTCTTCCTCTTCTTCTTCTTCCTCCTCCAGCTCTTCTTCTTCTTCCTCTTCTTCTTCTTTCTCCTCCTGCTCTTCTTCTTCTTCTTCTTCTTCTTCTTCTTCTTCTTCTTCTTCTTCTTCTTCTTCTTCTTCTTCTTCTTCTTCTTCCTAGCCTTCACCATCTGTAAATTTTTGCAGAAAGTTATGGTTGTTCATCCACTTCTGAACTTTGGTCTTTTCCAGAACTTTTAAAGATCTGGCTTTATTGCATGCAGACTCTTGGTTCCTAGTCTCTCAGGCAGATGCACTCTGACTAACAAGCATGTCGTCAGAGGCAACCTAATTAGGGGTGTTTCTTTCAAAGTCAGAGTGCATCTGCCTGGTAGTCAGCCAGCACTCTGTATACAAATAAGCCAGATCTGTAAAACATATGTACACACATAACTCAGGCTCCGGTTTAAGGTAAAAGTCCAGGAGTGGATGAACAACAAGATCTTTCTGCCAGAGTTTACAGTTTATTAACCCTTTGGAGTGACTGAAGCAATTTTTTTTTAAAACTTGGGAACAAACATAACTAATCTGAAAAATGTGGGTGAATTTTTTTAATGGATGAAGCTTGAATAAGCCCTAACACTTGTTTTTTGGGGAAGTAAGTCCCTTCAGACACTTCTGGCACATTGTTATACTCATTTTCTAGCCTTCAACTATGTTTCGGTTTCTATGACACAACAGTCCTTTTAGCCATTTATGGGCACAGGTAACCCCAGAAAAAATTCGATGTAAAATTACAAAACATATCAAACTTTCTCGAAAGACATCAGTGAACAGCCCACATGTGCAAGAAATGTGAGAAGCAGTCTGATTAGCTGGTACAAAAACCTGCCAGCCAGTATCAAGGCTTCTATTATATAGGGCCGACCGATAGGCCCAGTCGTCCTTTTGGCTACTTTGTGTTAAGCCGATATTTCGGCTGCATCGTCTCCAATGGGGTTATCACTGAGAAGAAGAAGCTATCACATAATATTGTTATGGAAAGAAAAGGCATTTAAAAAAAAAAAAAGAATTTAATATTTGTCCTTTGCCCCAAGCTGCATGCATAACAAAGCAACTTTAGTTGAACAAAAGGGTGAGTTATTTTTATCTTCTGACTAGTTGGCACTCCAATTCGGACAAATCATATATGAGTAATTCCTGCTTGGATGACATGCTTTGCATTCTTGTTTGCATTTTTGTTTAGCCATTAAAAAAATATTTTTTTAATCACTCTCATTATTTAAAGGCCAGGCTGTGTAAGTTGCTATTTTGCAGTAGTTTGGACAGAACAATTGTCTGAATATATTTATTTTTCTGTTTAAAGAAAAACTTGGCAACATGTAAGATGCAGACATGTTTATAAACAGACGAAATGAATAATTGTTTTGACATGTCGATCATATTAATTGAATTAATATTTTAACAATTTTCAGGTGTGAGGTTAAGATGAACAAGGAACTGGCAGCTGGTAAGCATAACAGTTTCTTTTCTTCTAATACCAACTCTCTACTGTAACAAATAAAAGCTTAACTGTACTGTTATAAATAACAGCTTAGTTGTACTGTTATAAATATCAGCCTAACTGTACTGATATAAATAACAGCTTAACTGTACTGTTATTAAAAACAGTTTAACTGTACTATTATAGGTAACAGCTTAACTGTAATGATAGTATAATCATAAAATCTACTGTTATAAGTAACAACTATAATGATAGTATAATCATCAAATCTACTGTTATAAGTAACAACAACTGTAATGATAGTATAATCATCAAATCTACTGTTATAAGTAACAACAACTGTAATGATAGTGTAATCATCAAATCTACTGTTATAAATAACAGCTAAACTGTAATGAAAATTCTGGTTGCTCATCCTCTTCTGGACTTTGATCTTGTTCCAAAACTTAAGTTTTGCATGCTCGTCTGTTTTACAGTTCTGGCTTATTATATCCAAAACCTGTTTTATGAGACCCAGGTGGAAGAAGAGAGAGGAGGAGACTTAATAAGATAAGGGGAACAGAATTATAGACATAAATATATCAAACTGGGAGAACATGGAATGAGCTGCAGGAGATAGCAAGACGTAAGATGATTTGGCATGAGTTGGGTGATGGTATGTGAACCAGTCAGGGGTAGAAGAGTTGGTTGATGGTAGGTGGACCAGTCAGGGGTAGAAGAGTTGGTTGATGGTAGGTGGACCAGTCAAGGGTAGAAGAGTTGGTTGATGGTGCAGTCAAAGGTAGAAGAGTTGGTTGATGGTGCAGTCAAAGGTAGAAGAGTTGGTTGATAGTGCAGTCAAGGGTAGAAGAGGTGGTTGATGGTGCAGTCAAAGGTAGAAGAGTTGGTTGATGGTGCAGTCAAAGGTAGAAGAGTTGGTTGATGGTGCAGTCAAAGGTAGAAGAGTTGGTTGATGGTGCAGTCAAAGGTAGAAGAGTTGGTTGATGGTGCAGACAAGGTAGAAGAGTTGGTTGATGGTGCAGTCAAAGGTAGAAGAGTTGGTTGATGGTGCAGTCAAAGGTAGAAGAGTTGGTTGATGGCCTCAAAGAGTTGGTTGATGGCCTTTGGACCAGTCAAGGATAGAAGAGTCGCTTGATGGCCTTTAGACCAGTCAAGGGTAGAATTATTATTTTATTGTGATGGGTCAACCTCTGAGTTCTACTAGCTTGGGGGGTGGGGGGAGGGGGTTCCTGTTGTTGCCTTCGTTTTAACCAAAATATCCCTGTGTTCTTTCTGGGATCCTGTTTTATGGGGGAAAAATAGACCCATTGCTCATTCACAAGCATGTGGTAGAAGGTGGCTACCTGGGGATGCTTCCTTCAGAGTTGCCTTTTATGATATGCTTGGAATGAAACATAGTGACCACACTTGTACGGTTAATTATAACAGTAATTTTGTCTACTTAGAGTGCATTTGCTTGAGAGGCAAGAAACCAACAGCCTGCATGCAAGTAAGCCAGATCTGTAGCCTGGATGTGCATGCAAAACTCAACAGTTCTGGAACAAGACCAAAGTCTAGAAGTGGACAAACAACCAGAATTTTTCACCAGAGTTCACAGCTGGTAAATGGTATTAAGAAGAAGACGTACGGATAAATCCAGAAATTTGTACGCTGTTCCACTTCATCACAGAAACATACATTTCTTTATAATTTTGCTGTTGGTTTCATGCAGTAGATGGAAGCTTGCCCAGCTCCTGCCAATTGCCCGCTACAGACTGTGAGCTGCAAGAACGGAAAGGAATTGAGGTAAAGGGCAAATTGTCATGAAATTTAGTGTGTGCCTTTATCTAAATTCTTGAAAACTTTCAAGCTGTTTGCTGGAAGCAGCACGCATTTTGTTCTACTTATTCAGACAATTCTGAAATTAAGTAAACACAGTGGTAGCTCGGAATTTGAATGCTTCGAAATTCAAACAACTTGGAATACAAGTGAATAAATTTTGCCTTGCAATTTGAACACTGCCTTGGAAACTGAATGCCTGGCATGTGCCAGCCACTCGCTAGCTCACAGCGCATCGTACGCTTCAGTTTGTTTTTGTATGATGTGCTGAACAAATTACATCCTGGCTCATCACCTTATTTGAATTTGGCTGTTAATTTGGAAATTATTCGTGCTTTTTAGTTTTTCCTTTAAAAAAAAAAAAAAACATGTAGGGATTTAGTAATGGTTGGTTAAACAACAAAAAAGTGTAGTGCTGAAACACAAAATAAGAGAAAAGCTGTTAAAGCAACATTTGCTATTAAGCAGATCTTATCGCCAAGCATGGAAAGGGAGTCTATTAGGAATATTATTTTTTTTTATTTGAGTTTGTGTGACCTTGGAACAGATTAAAATTAGTTTCCATTAATTTTATTGGGAAAAATTGCCTTGAAACTGGAACGATTTGGCATTCAATCACCCTCTCGGAGCGGATTATATTTGATTTATGATGTACTTCTGTATTAAGAATTGAAAGTTATGTAGGGAAAAACCAAATGAGACGTATGAGAGAAACAATTCAGGAATTAGCTCTTGAGAAAAACATCAGAACCAATTTACAAGTACATATCTTCTTCTTGTTTTTCTTTTCCTTTTTGAAGTGTTGGAGGAAGATGTTAGGATCTTCTTTGGCTCTTTCCAATGCGTTTGTAAGGTGATCTTCATTTCCTTGAGGCTGTTTTTGATGCCACGGAAGATGGATATCTTCTGTATAGTCTTTTCATTGCTCTGTGTCCATTGTATTTCTTCAGCGTGGCTCTCTGTGGCAGTTAGTACCAGGGCATCCTCCTCAGATAGCCACACTATCTCATTTGTTGCTGTTTAGTTAGTTAGTTGGGTTATCATCATTGCACTTCGAACATGTTCCTAGGTGCTCAGATCCTCCCAGTATGAACCCCAGCATCAGTTGGCTATACCAGTTCTGTGGTGATTAAAAAGTCCTCTGATGCGCCGATCTTAACTCCCAAGTCTGCCATTCTGGCGAGTGATGTGGATTCACTGCTCCCAGAGTTCTCCACCCCTTCCATTTCTCGGAGGGCATTAATAATATCAGCATGATCCATAGGTTGACCGTCGGTAGTGATAGGGGATCCAGCCAACCTATCAGCTCTTTCATTCCCATTTACGCCTGCTTATCCAAAAGCGAAAATAAAAGTGACTACATGCACTGTGGACTTTTGTAATGCCTCAAGCCACTGCCTTCGCACCGAACCTGTTGCTCTTTATAAAATTATCTGCCCACTTAGAATTCCTTGAAACGGCATACTCCAAGACATATACCAAAACAGAAAAGTGGCCTATAGCCCAGGGAAGACATTGAATGTTGATGTAATTGATGCACCTAATGAGATACATCAAAATATACCTGGCAATAAATTGTGATAATATTGTTTGTGCCTGGATTATGTACATTTTACTGCAGGAAACAAATTGTTTTGAAGCCACATGAATTGTTTACTCTATAAAGCTTCAGTAATTTCTTTCTTCTGTTCCTAGGTTGGCCACACATTCTACCTGGGCACAAAATACTCATCTATATTTAATGCAGCATACAGAAGTCAAGAAGGACAAAACATGTAAGAATAAAGCACATCTATGGAGCGTGGTATTTGGCTGACAGTTTCTGACAAGGATTGTCACATTGACATTTTTCCATCTCATTTTTTAAAGCCTCTTAAGCCTGAAATACTAATTGCTGCAAATAGTTTTCCAATGTTTCCTTGCACAAGCGGTCATTTTTCTGACCTTAGATATTGTATTCAGTCAGCACAGTGTAAACCATTTTGTTTATAATCTGTCAAAACTGACTCCCCATATAGCTTCTGGAGCCCTTTTGAAAGGGTGGGGGGGAGGGGGGGGGGGGGGAATAGACTTGCTACTCAGTAACATATATGTCAGCCAGAAGAAGAAAACAATATTCTGGTCTTCTATCCTTTGAAGTTATATTAAATTATTAAACTATAAACAATGTTACGTTATTTCACTAGAAGCAGTATTAAATTATTTAGCTATAAACCATTTTGTCTTGTACCTCAGTCAAAATCTGTTTCTTCCCAATTATGCTATCATCATAACTTCTCTTAACTATGGTGTCCTGATAGACAAAAGGAGCAGCTGGCTGAATGGTTAGAACGTTGGGCTCTCAAGCGGGAGACCCAGGTTCAAATCCTCGGTAAGGCTTGGGATTTTTTTCTGTTGGGGGCAAAATAAAATTCTCACCTGCACAGTAATTGGCATTTTTTTCCCACACCCACACCCCCCAACAGACAAAATTTTAACAGAGAAGAGAAGATATAGATTCTGAGGCCCAACTGTAGGGGGGGGGGGGAAGAGTAGGAATCCCTCCCCTCGACAAGCATGTCGTAAGAGTAGACTAATTAGGAGTGTTTCCTTAGAAGTTGGAGTGAGTCTGCCTGAAAGGCAAGGAACTAACAGTCTACATACAGATAAGAAATATCTGTAAAATGGATATGCATGCAAAACTCAAGTTCTGGAACAAGACTTAAGTCTGGCAGTGAACAAACATCCAAAACTTTTCTCCAAAATCTACAGTCAGTGAACATAAAGGACAATAAGAGTTAAATAAAGTTAAAGTTAAATAGCAAAGTTTTATTTCCTCTGTCAAGTTTAATTGCATCCAGAATGGCCAAACTTTACTGATGCTTTTTGCTTCCTCACTCAATTTGATCTGGCAGACATTACAGTATGTGTTGTTTTGGTCTGGGCATGACACGGATTATACAGTCCACAGTTGAAGTTTTGTCAACAGAAAACAACCTGAGGTGGCCCAGTTTGATTGCCCCTCATCAGATTTACATAATTCCTAAGAAGGTTAGAATAGTCAGAATTAGTAGTAATGAATGTTTAATTTTCAAGTTATGTTTGTGTGAATAAACTCACAATTCTTCTTCTCCTTGTCCTCCTCCTCCTCTCCTTTGTCTTCTTTTCCTTCTTCTTCTTCCTCTCATCCTCCTCCTCTTCTTTTTCTTCTTCTCGTCCTCCTCTCCTTCATAGTCTTCCTCTCCTCCTCCTCCTACTTCTTGTTCTTCGTCTTTGTTGTATACCTTCAAGATGGCAGTTGGAACATTGTGTTGTGGTGTACAGCTTGGCTGTGATATCTGTGCCTTTCAGCCCAATACAGCTTTTCAGCCTTTTTTTGGGGTGGGGGCATATGTGTTAAAAAGCAGAGGGTCTACACCCACCTTCCGACCCTGTTAGAAATGAGACCCCCAGAACCCAAACAGGAGAACTCACAATTCAGGGCATTACTTGTTAGCTCACAAACTACTGATCTGAAGAAAAAAACCTGTAGCAATTTTATTATGTTGAATTGAAGAATGCTTAAAATTCCTTGTCAGCCAATATGAGTGATCTAGATGTTTTGAAGGAGCCAGAGACAACTTATCACAGACATCATAAAGAGACTATTATCTAATTCTGGGCCTGGTATCCATGTGGGTTCCAGGGCCCCATTTTGGTTGAAAAAAGAATAGATCCACAGCCCCCCTCCCCCCTTCAACAAGCATGTCATAAAAGGCACCTAACTGGGGATTTTTCCTCTGAAGTCGGAGCCCATCAGCCTGGGCGGCGAGGAACCAGCAGTCTGCATACAGGTAAACTAGATCTGTAAAACAGATGTGTGTGCACAATTCAAGTTTTGGAACAATAATGAAGTCCAAAAGTGGACAAACAACCAAAACTGTCTGCGGGAAATAAACTAGATCTGTAAAAAAAACAGATGCACATGCAACACTCAGGTTCTAGAACAAGGCAAAGGTCCAGAGGTGGACGAACAGCTAGAAATTTCCACCAGTTTACAGCTGGTGAACGCAAAGAAGATGAAAATTTCTTTTCTCTACAGAACCTGTTGTTTGAATGTTTTTGTTTCCATAAAATACAACTTTTTCCCCCGTGTGGGTTCCGGGGTCCTATTGTGGGGAAAACAAGAGTAGACCCACTGCCTTCCCAAAAGCATGTTGTAAGAGTCGACTAACTGGGGAACTTACTTTGAAGTCGGAGTGCATCTGCCTGAGAGGCAAGGAACCAACAGTCTGCATTCAAGTGAATCAGATCTGTAAAACTGATGCACACGCAACACTCAGTTTCTGGAGCAGGACTGAAGTGGAGGAACAACCAGAACTTTCCGTCAGAGTGTACAGCTGGTGAACGCGAAGAAGAAGAAGAAGAAGAAGACAACCTTTTCTTCTGTACATCCACATCTCCAGCGATTCAGTATGCTTGTCTGGTCACTTGTTCATTGTCTTGGTCTCTGCCCTATACAGCAAGGTTGAGTATTTACAACATTTGACATTTCTCATTGTTAATGTGTTGTTTATCGATATATCAATTTGGGATAAAACATGTTGTCAACAGGATGGGCCACGGGGAAGTGAGTACCTGGCAGCGGCAGGATCTTTGAGTGATTCCTTCACACAGCGACCACATCTGAGGGGAGAAGTGGTCATTGATGACAGGATGTCCATGACGATTGGCAGACGGCAGGTTGATGCCGACAGGCTTGGCTACCCATACATAGTGATTCTGGGAGTGAAGGTTAGACCAGTTCTTGTCTGTCTGCCTGCTGCATGCCTGTCTGTTAGTATTTCAAAGTTTACTTTGTGAAGGAGCGAAGACAACTTTTCAAATAGTCAAAAATTGGGCATGCAGGCCTATCTTACATTGGACCATTCGCACAGTAGCTGTATTTTATATATATATAGTTTATAGTTCTCTTTTCATACTTTTGCAGAAAACACAGGGTGCAGGGGATTGTGGAGAGCATCGAACATTTAGTTTATTGAGTCATATAACTAAAATATTAATTAGAATTTTCATGAGAAGAATAAGGTGCAAAATTAAACCAGAAATTGGAGAAGAACAATATGGTTTTGTTGAAGCTAAAGACACAAACAATGCCATATTTATCTTGAGAACTCTTTCAGAAAGAATGATTACACTAAAGCAAAGCCAGCATTTCACAAAATGAAGAATATTCTATGCAATCTTTCTTTGTCAGTTGAGATGAAAAAGGGAATTCTTAAAAGCTATTAAATCCTGTCGGGATATACGAAGTAAATTATGGACAGTTGGCAGATTAGTAAACAAATTATTTAGAAGTTGCAGAAGTGGGGTTTTGAAGACTAATGATGAGAATACCCTGTACGCAGTAAAAAAAAAAGTAATGAAGATTTCTTGAAACTAACTCACAAAGAGAACTGATTGTCCACATCAGAAAGAGACAGTCTACATTCTTTTTTCATATCATGAGATGAAGAAAACTGAAGTACACCATGACAGTAGCAAAGTTGGAGGGGAAAAGAGACAAAGAGAAGATGCTGGACAGTTTGACATCATGGCATGGAGGATCATCTGTGTCAGAGCTGATTGAAAGTACATGAGACAGAAGGTTGTGCATAGACATGACTACCAACGCCATACGGCATGGACTTTGAGAAGAAGAATATATATTGATATACAAAATATTTCAAGGGCTTTTGTGGAGTGACAGGATATTTCAGGTGCTCTTTGAAATGACAGAACATTGCAAGCACTCCGTGGAGTGACAGAACATTGCAAGCACTCTGTGGAGTGACAGAACATTTCAGGTGCTCTTTGAAATGACAGAACATTGCAAGTACTCTGTGGAGTGACTGAACATTTCAGGTGCTCTTTGAAATGACAGAACATTGCAAGCACTCCGAGGAGTGACAGAACATTTCAGGTGCTCTTTGAAATGACAGAACATTGCAAGCACTCCGTGGAGTGACAGAACAGATGTCAATTCTTGACTCAACTCAACTCAAGTAATGACAAAAGTATAGGTATAATATAACATCTTCATGTAGTTATCTAAGTATTAAAATTTAATTTCCTCATGCGGGTTCTGGGGCAGCACTGTGGGGAAAACTAAAATAAACTCTCTGCCTCCCCAACAAGCGTGTCGTAAGAGTTGCTAATTGGTGGCTTTTTTCAAAGTTAGAGCATATCTGCATGAAAGGCAAAGAACCAACAAATAAGTCAGATATGTAAAACAGATGTGCAGGCAACACTCAGGTTCTGGAACAAGACTTAAGTCTAGAGGTGGACAAACAACCAGAACTTTCCACCAAAGTTTACAGCTGGAGAACGCAAAAAAAGAATGAAGAGGGTACTGTTATTGTTGTTGTCAGGCTCAGACACAATTTTACCTTCATGTCTTAAAAAAAAATCTGGATTCATGAATGAAAAATTTGATTTCATCAATGAAAAATATAATTTTATCATTGAAAAATGTGATTTCACAAAAAAAAAAAAAAAAAAAAAAATAAAATAACGGTTGTCTTATTTTTGCAGGCTCTTGAATCTCCTGCCTTATATGAGGTGGTCAACGTAGCTAAAGGAGAAACAACATTTATGAGTGAAGATCAACTGATGGCATTAGCAGACACCATTGAGACAATATAGTGTAACTCCTTAGCTTAAATAATTGTGTGGCACTTAGAAAAAATATTCTAATAAATTAGGTATAAAAAAAATTTGCTTCGCAACCATAATGTTTGACTGTAATATTTACTATTACTAATAAACATATTTTATTAATGAAAGTGGTTGTTCTTGTTTGCACCCAGCTGTATCAGTGTTCACTGTCGTTCTAAATTATGTCCTCATGGAGGTTCTGGGGCTCCATGTTTTTTGGGTGGGAAAGAGGGTTGGTGGTGGGGGAGGTAGAGGTTATAGACCTGCTGCTTCTCTAACAAGCATGTCAAAGAAGATGACTAATTAGGGTTTGGGGCCCGCTGTGGTTAGATGACAGTTGTGGTTCAAATCCAAATGGTGCTGGACATTTCTTTAAAAATGATCTTGGCTCTCAGGCAGATCCCGTCTCAAATGGGTACTAGGTAAAAGTCTTGGAAGTAAAGGCGGCCGGCATGATATTGACCACATCACCCACTGAGTGCCGATTGTCTATAAAATACAGGTCTAGCCCTATATGCCTAGGTGTGGAAAAGAGTCCTTTACTAATTAAAGACCTACTGAAAAAGCCTGTGTTAGATGAGAAGGTGTGGATATTGCAGCCTAGCTGTAAACCACAAAATAAATTTCCAACTACAGTCCAGTCCAACTAAGTTGAACTTGGATAAGTTGAATTTCGGTTAAGTTGACATGACCAGCTTAGTCCTGGCAATTTTCTCTATTGTGTGTGCTGTCTGGATAAGTAGAAGTCCCGATAAGTGGAAGCATTTTCTTAGGTCCCTGCGACTTCTACTTATCCAGACTCGACTGTACACTTTAAAGAGTGAACGCAGAGGAAGACTAAGAATTTACAGTAATAGTATGAAGGACCGCTGCTGACTTGGTTAGCTGTATATCTTCTCGCTTACGAACTGGACACTGCAGACTCAATAAACACTCACAGAAATTAGGTATGAGCCAAACAGCTCTCTCCAAGTGCCTTCGTGCTGAACAGACTCCAGAACATGTCCTGCAAGACTGTCCTCTCCTGGCGGAGCTGCGGAGCAACATATGGCAACACCCAGTAGAACTGACAACTAAGCTTTGGGGAAACCTAAGAGACCTTGAAAAGACATCCCAGTTTATGACCCACAGTGGATTATGCGCATGACCAGAGATCGCTGAAGAAGAAGAATTATATCTTCTGGAAGACTGTGAGAGTTAACTTTTCTATTGGCCACATTTGGTGTTCAGATAATGTAAACCCTGAAAATAGTTTCTGTTACAGTAAGACTGGCATAGATATTTGCCTCCTAGTCTAGTACAGCAGCATTATCGCCCCATATACTGTATTGCAGAGGTTTTCCTCTCCCTTTCCAAGCTCAGAAACTGTTGGGAGTGTGCAAGGCCGGTACCAGAATTTCAAATCTGTGGAGATTCATGATGATCCTTAGGATGTTATCATCCTTTTTTCTATCTTTTTGCCAGTGGTTTTTCAGATAAGGGCACATACAAGGGGAAGTCAATAAGTAAGTCACAAATGGATGGTTTAAAAAAAAAACATTTCTAAAAAATGAAGGCGATGATGACTTGAAGACTGTTTATTTTTACACATACACTGTCCCTTTTTTTGCCAACTTTAATTTCCACCAACATTGATGTCCCATCATTTTATCAGTCCTTCCAAACCTGCTACATAGAACTGCGTGCTCTGTTTTTTAAACCACATTTTTACTTCACATTCAACTTCTCACAAAATATCTCCTGCCAAGATAGGTTTTCAGTGGACCAAAAATGTAAATCATTCATGCATTATATTGTATGCTGAAAAATGTGAGCACCCTAATGCCACTGCTACAGAGTCAACCATTCTCACCTATCACCTCAAATCATCTCCTCCACCCGCTGCATAGATGCCTTTGTTGCAGTCTCAACCGGACAACCAGATCGGACTCCATCAACAATTTTAAAGCGTCCTTGATACATTTTTTTTACCCATTTATGCACTGCTTTATGGAATAAACGTTTGTCAGCATAAACAGGAAACATTTCCTTATGAATGTCTTTTGCTGGCAGCCCTTTTGCCCAAAACAAACGCACAACAGCACGTTCTTTGAGAGTACAATCCATAAGTACTGTCACCATTTTGTTTCTTTGGTGCGAATGCGCATGCAATTTCTAGCACCACCTAATAAACGGAGACATAAAGTTTGATGTTGCTGTCACTTAATGGCATCTTTAGAAACCACAAATTACATTTGCCTATCATCCCATAACCATTTGTGACTTAATTATTGACTTTCCCTCGTACCTCTTTATCATTAATAGATACCAAATCATATGAAAAGTGGAACCAGTCAGCTTCACAATATGACAATTGAACACTGCATCTAAGAGCCCTCATCTGCACATGACCAAATCTACATGTAATGGTGCTAAATATAGAAATAGAATAAGGGGTCTGATTGGTTAGTGGAATTAGGGAAATCCCCAGCTTGCAAGGCACGAGGTTAGCGTGGGAAAGGAAGAACACGAGTTTTGGTGAGTTTGCTTGGGCAACATGAGGCAACGAGGGTAAGAATAACTGGTTATTCTGTGACCGGACCCCAGATTGAAAGAAAGTGAAACTGGATCCAGAGTGTCAGGAATTAATGTGGATCTTGATGGAACCCGAATGAATGTTTGTCCTGAATGGCAAGGAGTGAAGCTGTGTTGAATTTCAGTTGAAGACAACAGTTGTGTTCTATTGCCCGTTGGTGGTGTCAGTCGTATACATGTCAGTGTCCATAGTCTGAAGCTTGGCTGTAGACTTAGAGTGTGAGCAAGGGGACCTTGTTCGGCTTCATTGTTGATTATCATTGCTTGTGTTGTAATGTTAAAAAACCTGCGGATTGTTATCAACCTTTATCAACTGTCATTTCGAGATGTGGGATAGTTGATTGGAAGAGAAGTTTGATTCATCTGCACTGTGATCTTGACCCCTAGACAATGGAACTAGTGTCGAATCTGTGTGAGGGAGACTGAATACCAAGGAGATACATTACACTACAATACCACAAATACAAAAAAAAATATTTCAGAATCACTTAACTGACATATCTCAGATAGAAATCACATTTATGTCTGGCCAGTAGAGTATCTCGTACGTATGAGGCCACTGAAAATAAATGCTGCCCAATGTTGAATTAAGAATCGGCACTCAGGACACTCCCATAAATGCTCAGTCTCCATCTTCAGCAGCAAGCGAAGAGTTCCAAATCTGATGGTACCAGTAGCTGTCTGATTGTATATCCATCTCATCCTTGCCCTGTGTGTTGAGCATTGGCCAGATCCCCTGGTAACTCCTCGCAGCGCCATTCTTCTTAGACCGTAATGATCTATCTGCGCCTCTGCACTGTTTACCCATTCCCAAAGGGCCCTTACAGTATTTAACTTGTCATACATCAGTTCACCACCAAGTGGTGCAGAGCCAGCCAGTCTATCTGCCTACTCAGTTCCCAAAAACACCAGCATGACCTGGAGAAAATATCCAAAGGATGCTAACTACCCAGGACCTCTGAAGTGATGCTTGCCACTCTGCATAAAGCATGTATGTTTTCACCTTTCTCAATATGCTCTGTGAGTCAGTTACAATCACAGCATGCTGGCCAGAAAGAAAGGAAAAAAACCACCAGTGACAAGGACCCATTGTTATAATACTGTCAAAGACATGATAAAGCTGTTGGATGTTAAGACCTCCCGGGTACCTAGGTACCATACTGCTATAAAGGCTGAGGTACTTCACATGATCAACACTGCTTGTTTCCAGAGAAGTGAATCATGTAAGGAGTTGAAAGTTTACTGCATATCCTTACTGGACACCCCTGACTAACCCCGGCATCTATTGGTTGTTTCTGGTTTTACTAGCAGTTTTGCATTCAGCAGTTTGCTGTTGGTTACTGAATGGTTTGGCACTTATACCATTGTTGACATCAACGCAAAATGGTCTGCTGCCAAATTGCCTGCAGCTGAATTGAACCTGATATGTTTTTTTCGTTTTTGCGTTCACTTTGTGTTCTTTGTATGAATGACAGAAAGTCCTGCTTGTTCATCTATTTTTGGACTTTGGTCTTGTTCCAGAACTTGAGAGTTGTGCATGCACAACTGTTTTACAGATCTGGCTTGATTGTGTGCAGACTGTTGGTTCCTTGTCTCTCAGGCGGAGACACTCCGATTTTTTAAAGAAAACGCCTCTTAGTCACTTTAAATGACATTCTTGTTGGGGGGGGGGGGGGTGTCTGTTCCTTCCTCCCCCCCCCCCATACACACACACACACACACACACACCAAGGGGCCCTGTAACCCACCTGGGGAAACCTGATATGTCACAAATCATGAAACACCTTAAGTTGTAGATGCTGACTTTGTAAGTAGTAAGTTTGGAACCCACGCCTTTACTGCTACTGGGCATATAGAGCTAGATCTATATATTTATAGACCAATTGGCACTTGGTAGGTGATGCGGTTAGCATCATGCCAGCCACTTTTACTTCCCATGACTTTATAGCTGGTATCCATCTAAGGCTGGGTCGACCTGGGAGCCAAGGCCATTTTTGAATCCACGACCTTCAGATCCGCAGGCGAAAGTCTAGTCCCTACACCACGATGTCTTCCCATGTAAAAGTATGTATGTAAGTTGTACCCAACCAGGACATCACGCAAGCGATTAACACCCGGTGACACAAAGTGCCACCATGCGGATGAGGATCACCCGTGGAGAGGTCCCGAAAACCCCGGTTAACCGTTAGGCAATATTTAAGGCCCGGCTATATTTAGGGCCCTCTGCAAAAGCCAGGTTGGGGCTTCAAAATATATGAAAAATTGCATCCCACATGGGGACGCCATACTGATTACTCCCGTTGTAAAGAGTAACTCATAAACATATAAGCTCCCGAATACAGCAGGAATTCGTGGGACTGCTTGTAAAATACAACCCTATTATTTCTACAGCCTACGGTTGATTCTCTGTGTTG